CCACAGTTTTGGCCCTTGACTTATTACTGTGAATTGTTTGATATTGGTTCTACAGAAAGCAGGTCTATAATTATTTGACTGTCTAGTTGGATAATCGTGGATTTGGGAGTTTTTTACAAATTTGTTTTGAAAGGAGTTAGGCAAAATTTTATTTTCTATTGAATACACAAATAGCCCTAACTGAAGAGAGTGAATATCTTGCAGTTTTAATAAGTTATATTGAAAAAATAAGGTAGAAGTGTGAGCATCATATCTAGAGTTTCAAAGTTGATAGATCCTCCCCATATTTTACAACCAGCTACAGCAAAATACGTTTACAATTGTTTTGCTCTGCGTAGTGGGAAAAAAAAAGCACCAACAACAAAACAAATAAAAATCAATACTTTTATAATACTGTATAAAGATGATTAGGATTAGTAACGCATTTTATCGAAATAATTATATGAACATTTATATATACAGAATATATATGTACGTATGACGTGTATGTGTGGAATATGTGAATATCGATATTATGCGCATACATAAACATACGTATATACTTGTAACTTATTTGGAACTAAGTTGATGTGCAACTATGTACAAAACGCCAAATAAAATATGTCTGTCTGTCTGTCTGTTTCGTCACCCGGAGCGTCACATACCAACATGCAAGTAAAGGCCTAGACTCATTTGTGTCCAGTTGTGAGTTCATTAAGTTATGCGCACGCATTACGCATATCGTGGACACGATTTTTGCCAGAGAATTCTTTGTGTTTTTTTTTTTTTTTTTGCGTGTGCCTTATCATCCAGTTTTTTTGGTGGCATTTTGGCGAATGCTCAAACGGAAAACTGCCGGATCCAAGCATAGATTGCTTTCATAACAACAAATAAAAAAAGCAAGTAAAGCGAAATGACTGGGCTAAAAGAGAAAAACCAAAAGGGACCTCTGCGAGATCTGCTACCTCTCTGGTAGAGAGGAGGCTGCATATCGCAAAGTAATTTTTGGCATCTCCCAACATATTTTATAAGAATTGGCTAGTCTGTCCTTTTAGTGTACATACTGACCTGATAATTACAACGATAATGATGAAGATCAAAAGAGTCCCCACTACTGATCCACCAATGATAAGATAACGGACATATCCAGTCTTTTCTTTGTGATCTCTGGTGTCAGTAGGCTCATTGTTGGTAGGTGTATAAGGTTTAGTGGTAGGTTGGCCTGTTAGTTTTTCATCCATATACACGGATACAGAGAGTATTGTCTTGTTGATAGCTCTGCCTATACGAGCCAGGGATCCTTTCACGATATCAACGAGAATATTCTTATCGACTGTGTCAGTGACTCCAATGGCGGCACCTGGTGGGAAGTTAACGTAGAATGCTACAGCAGCAATCACGTGATCAGGGATGGAAGAGTAAGACAACTGTACTGGGTAACCTGGCAGAAGATGAACTTCTTGTGTTGTGAAGGTTACACCAGTGGAGCGCCTGGAAAACATTGGTGTTTATTAGTTGTTGTTTTTTTCCTTCTCTTTTCCTTTCTGTTCTTTCAGTCTACAACAGATTTACCTTACTCTTGTCTTGGGTCTAAAGCAGCTCTGACTTTTAGAACAGAATTCAGTAACTTCTTGGGCCACAGCGTTCTTAAATTTCAGATCTTTTTTGTGGTGCCACTGTGGGAATGTCATGTCAACATTAACTCTCACTATAATGATTCTTAGTGTAATTTTAGACTTGAATATAGAGTTTCTAGAGCTGTGATTGGTCGAGCGACCGGTGATTCCGAGATGATAATCATCGCTGGAGCGGTTATTACATGAGGTTTTCTTTATCCTGAATTTCGAATTTTCTCTGATATTCAAGTCTAAAATTATACTAAAACGATTATTCCCATCAGGCTCAGTGATTATGGTGATATTCATCTCGCGGCTCGGTAAATATTCCACCGATAATCACTTCGCCTTCGGCGAATAATGAACATTCTACACAAAATCGATGCTAACGGCTTAGCAACAGAGAACTTGTAACTGGAGTATTATCTTGGTAACCATTGTTTGAGAAGGGACGTTTAACCGCTAACATCCCTCTGAACTAAATATTGATGAGAAAATTTAGTCTAGATTTTTTGGCCTTACAAACATAATCATGAGAGAAATTGTAAATTGTACGCAGGTATTAAAGAAATTTCATGCCCACGATTCTCTAAAGTAGATGGTAGTCAGGAGTCTTTGAAAAAAGACCGTAACTTATTCCGCTCTAGGTTAATCAAGTGAACCACATTTTGGTTTATTTTTCTCGGTGATCATGGTATTACAAACTGATAGCATGACATTTTGGGACATTAGTAGTAGTTAAATGCCCCCGAAAGCCGAGGGAAATTTTGTTGAAGTCCCAAGTTTTTACTCATGATAAGTAAACTTCACGCTTTTTTAATACATGCATGAGATCTAATGGAGAAGAGGTTTTGTAATTCTTTAGTTAAGGTACTCTATCCATACCTACCTCAGTTATGTCAAGTCCTTTGATGGTAACATTAACAGAGTTTTGGATATCTCTTTTTGAAGGTGGTCTTGGTGTTGACGGAGGTGAAGTCGTAGCCGGTTTCTCAGGTTCTAAATCAAAATAAATTAATCTCCTTGTTTTACCACGTCAGCAGTTGATATATTTGTGCATATATTAAACTCATAGTTCGCGGGTCATTATTGGAATTTACGAAACATTCAGAAGAATAAAGGTCATTGGAAGCCAGCTGTTCTTTGTGTCACTATATATGTTACCTTGACATTCATTGCCCTTCCATACGAGGCCTATTCTACACTCGCATTCGTAGGAGCCAATGGTATTGCGGCAACGCAGATTAGCTGAGCAGTTAAACGTCCATTCAAGGCACTCGTCGATATCTGAAAAAAACATTATTATTCAATATAAGGCTGGTTGCTAAACTTAATATTTCTCGCCACAATCACAATGAAACTACGCATGAATCGTAGTAGACAGAATGCGCACGTGAATGTGCACCTAGGATCTGAAAAGTAGGGAAACAAGATAGATGGGAAAGAAAAGAAAGACACACCATGCACGTCCATTCCTCTCTTGCAAGACCTCAAACTCTCTTACTGTCATTCTTCAACCAATGACACATATTCATTCAAAGAAACAAAGCTTTTTGTATCTTCACTTACCAATGCACGTCACGTTGTCAGTATCCAGACGATATCCAGGACGACATTTACAATCGTACCAACCAATGATATTGCGACATTCCTGATTACAGCGATTCTTCCCTGTTGTGCATTCATCGATGTCTGAAAAAAAATCAAGGCGAGAACAATGATATTACTAACCAAATATAATGAATGTTGCTGCTAGTTCAAATTTAAATGTTATTACATAGCGAGTGCTGCGTGAAAACATTTTTAGTGAAACCTAGAATAGTTTTCTCTGAATGCACAGATACTGTCCAACGCCATACCTTCGTAGCCGCTGTTTGCAGATTTGTTACACAACAATTTCTCACCTGAACAAGCGGAAAATTAGGGAGATCGTTTTGCGTGACGATTCTAACAAACGATACCTGTGCATGATTTATTGTCATGTTGAAGTTCGTATCCAGGATGACAAGTACAGTGGTCCGTCCCGTTGGAGACGTAGCAAATATCCTGACATTGATGGTTACCATCCTTACAGGGGGACTCCGCTAAGGAAAAATAGTACAAGACATACGTCATTACACATGTAAAATACCTAATGTTATTCACCCTGTTCCGCTACGATCACTTAGTAGTCACAGGTACATCTGTAACTACCCTATAGCTATTCACTCTATTCCACTACAATCACTTACGTATGCATCTCTTGGGATTGGTAGGATCTACTGTAAAGTACTTGTCACAGGTAAATCTGTAACTACCCTATAGCTATTCACTCTATTCAACTACAACAACTTACGTATGCATCTCTTGGGATTGGCAGGATCTACTGTAAAGTACTTGACACAGGTACATGTGTAACTACCCTACAGCTATTCACTCTGTTCCACGACAATAACTTACGTACGCATCTCTTGGGATTGGCAGGATCTACTGTAAAGTACTTGTCACAGGTACATGTGTAACTACTCTACAGCTATTCACTCTATTCCACGACAATAACTTACGTATGCATCTCTTGGGATTGGTAGGATCTACTGTAAAGTACTTGTCACAGGTACATGTGTAACTACCCGGAGTATTCACACATCTTTGCATACAGTCACTGGCTGGATGGCACTCGTTTACGTCTACAAGCAATGTAATACCATGGATACCATAACGGTTATTGAGATTGCATGCGAAACAATTCATCAACGAATAGAATGGAACAGTACGTATACGCGTACTCACCATCACATGAGCGGCCACCTTCATTTAGCACGTAACCAGGGTTACAACCACATATGAATGATCCAGGAGTGTTGGCACATATTTGGGAACATCGTTGTGAGACGAAGTCATCACATTCATCAATATCTATCAAACATTAAGTTTGTATAAGAACAAATGAAGATGCTTAACTCCTTAACCATCATATCAAATACTGCCAATCAGTATGCAGAAAAACCGTTGTATTTTCGGTGCTATTCCACTATTCCCTCCCATTGGTATTGAGATATAGAAAATACAATTGTCTATTCTCCATTGTTAACCTCTTAAAACAAGTGTATAACTAGTATATATTTAATTGTGCAAGCATTTTGATTGAACTACCTACCTAAGCAAGAATCTCCTTGTCCTGAGAATCCAGACGGGCACGGTCCACATTCATATCCGGTGACATTAGCAGGAGCTGGCAAGTCCTTACACTGTACTCCAGGGTAACATGGGTTCATATTGACCTCACATGCATCAACATCACTTTCACAGAATCGACCCGTGTAACCACTTGGACACTGACAAGACATGATGCTAAAACGACTATTATTTCTATCCTCTTCTTCTTCTTGGTTAGTTATCAAACAGTCACCACCATTGTAACACGCGCAGACGTGCAGCACTGGCCTCAAAACAGAAGTCGCTCCTTTGTTGTCTGTGGCGATTATTTCCAATTTTACCTGATTGAAAAAATGACAGAATTGTTCAATTTTGGTCCCTACCAAATCCCCAAGGCCTTCCGGCACGAACGAGTAAAAAAGTACGGTTATTCACAGAAGAACGGCAAACTCAAAATTTTACCGATTTTGTGGTAACCATCCATTTCAGGATTATCGAAGACTCATTAGTCCATACTGTTGCATCATCTGGAGGACCTGTTATGTTGAATCTTATTTTATCTCCATCCGGGTCCTTGGCCTTGAATGTCACACTTTTTGAAAAGTTCACCGTTAGGTAAAGAACAGATGACGTGTTGTCGAACTTTGGAGGAGAGTTTTCTGATGGGAAAGGAAGAGTTTGTTCATTGGTACAAATTTACTCAGTCTATACTGCTATAATTTCTTTGTGTATGGTCTGCGACTACTATCTACCCAAAGGTCGTTTCCAAGACCCAACGCATCAAATTAACGTCAACCCCCACTCGTTTCTGTCAAAGTCTATCACATAAGCATTGACTATGACAATAAGGATAGCAACATACTCAGCGTGTTGGATTCGTAGACCAATTGTGATCCAACAATCTTTGTGCTTATTCCAACAGACACGTCCTTGGTTGAAGCAGAGTCAAACAAGCAGTTGATGTCCCCTTTGCAAGCAGCTTGAGCTTGTTGCTTTAGGGATTCATTGTAGAATTCCTCAATCAGATCCTCTATGAACATTGGCACGAATGATGTGTTGGAAAACGTGGAGACGTTCTCGTTGAACTGGTAGGTAAAAAGTGAGGTACTCTCGTTTACTTGCCCTGTTATTCAAAATGAAGAAATATTGAAACACGGAAAGCTTTTAAAATAATAATTWAAAAAAAAACTGATTAAAAGCGAATATCTCACATTTCTGTCCAAACTGAAAGTGAATATTCTTGCTGCTTGCATTTGCAGGTAAAACATCTCCACTAGGTGTTGTCAGGTCATCTGTTTGGTCACCATTCCAGGTTCCTAACAACCCTTTCGTCTGGTTCCTGAATGACTTGGGCATTGCCAATAAGATGGACAGGGCACCCTTTACTTCTGTTACAGTAACTGAGATTCCAGATGGGAAAGTTGCTCTGAATGAGTTGTCTTTAGGACGCAAGACAACGACAGAGCCATTGAGACTGGTTGACTGATTGGTAAGACTGTAGTAATCCAAGGTCTCTCCATCAACAAAAAGTGTAAAGTTACCTGCACAAACGTATCGCATGCAAGTGAATAACTAACAAAGTTTATTTTAACTAGTTAATCTTTGTAAGTGATAGAATTTTTTTCTACCTTCTCTCTTTAAACTGATTTCCACTTTGCTTGTATTTCTTTCTTTGGCCACTGCAGCACAAAAGACGGTAGCAGTTCCACCTCCTTTAGCGAGTCTTGTACGYGCTTGCAGCTCAAAGAAGCCGTCCTTTGCATCAAGCATCACATATTCACCAAGACCGTTAAACGTGTAGTTTTTGCCATCAAGGGTGACAAAGTGAGGGTCACCCCACATCCAACCTAAAATACGATCAGACCGTCAGGCATCATGTTATTAGCAATTAGTTTGCTACTTATTTTTATCGGTGCTTTTCGTGTTTCTTGCCGCACAGAAGTTTCAAAAGAAATTTCCCTTCTTGCATGCTGTCGGTAATTGATGTTGTCAAGGTCTGATATTGATGGTTGCCAAAATAGCTTAGAGAGTTTTTAAGCATACAGCAGAAACTGTACGAAAAGACGCCAATATTATTGACTTATACAGGTAACAAATGGCAGTTTGTCTGTGCACACTTACACACTACATTCATTGACATATTTGTTATTGTTATTGACTACGATTACTTACTCCACTCAGGTGGTTCGTATTGCTTGCAGTTGTCTGATGGTCTTCTCTGGTAATAAAGATGACACATTGCCGTTTGTACACAGCACCTGTCGTAGAATTTATCATCATCGGAAATTACGTTCTTAACGTACTTTTTCCTGAGAGCACTGCCTCCCCCTGGATGACCTACGATGAGCGCACCATTGCTTCTCCCGTCGTTAGAGTAACAACATTTCTGTTGCCAACCGTCGATAGAAGTGAAGGTGGAATAGGCGCAAACTTCGGATTTGCCTCTCCAGCCTTCTTGCACATCGAATCTTTCGTCCCATTGGGCTTGAAAGAATGTACAAGGGCAAGGTTCAAGGTATTCAAGGACAGGCCGTGGATCTGGTTCTTTTTTAAACCAACTTTTACATTTGTCCTTTGACAGTTTAACAAGTGAAGTTTCCAAACGAAATAACCATTTTCCTTGGCTCAAGTGAGAATAATTTTTGAATTCGTTTCGCTTTTTGGGATTTCCAAATACAGTTTTGCCAGTTATTTTACTTATGTTTCCGATCATGACCTCTCCAGACCTATAAAGTAGATACTGAAAATATTAGCAAATGGTAATCACACATATCTGCGTTAAACTTGAAGAGGTCTCCGTAATATTGCCTTAACGTAACTATACTGAAATGGCTGAAATGCGGTGAAACGTTGAAAATGCATCGCAAATTAATTTTATTTTTATTTTTAATTTTGCTGAGGATGATGCAAGCTGAGGATGATGCAAGCTGAGGATGATGCAAGCTGCATCGAAACGTTGTTCGTTTCTTATGGCTTAATTTTGTAATTCGTAGTACATCAAAATCGTTATTGATTAGATCAGTAGTTTATCAAGTAAAATAGTTTAAACTATATTCTATGAGTAGAAATACTCTAAAATGCCAAAAGCCGTTGGCCTCATTTAAAACGTTTCATTCCAACTGGTTTCCTCAGATTTTTTTGTACCATGAAATATATCGATTGATCTTCTCAGTTAAACTGATACGTTAATGCCAATAAGTTAACGAAGGTACATTACGTTATTGCTAACATTTCTTTGCATACCTTGGTACATTGAAATATTCTTCTCGTCGGCACCCAGCACTCCAGCCGACGACAGGAAGAGGATCATTTATAGAATTTCCTTTGGTGTAGAGACCCCATTTGGCGCTAAAAGAAGAAAAACAATTTGCAACAAAAAGTCTCGTGCTGATATATCGCTTTGCTAAAGAATCAATTTAGCCAAAGGTCCCTTTGGGAAGGCTCTGCTGGATGGCAAACAAACTTTAAAATGCTTCGTATATCCTTGAATTCGAAAGTATCTCATAAGGGTAAGAATGCATTTTGGAAAAGGTTTTGGTGATTAGTAATCCAGCAAAAGTTATTTGAATAAAGGAAGTTTGAATCCTTTTGCCATCCAGTAACAGTCATGTTTATGTCCTGCAAATGGCCTATTAGTTGATTAAGGATCTTTGTTCAGTGCATGTAGGGTTTGAATAATGCATATTTTTTATATGATACTGTTAAGACGGTTAGTGTCCATCAGAATATTTAAGCAATATACAGGCTAAACACCTACTATATAATACAAAAAAAATCAAACCTCGTGGTTGGTGCTGACCACAGAATAACGTCAGGTGGATAGTTGTACATCACAAAGGTGTAGACACCGTCTGTGATAATCACAGCTTGGAAGGTGTTGTACTACAAGGAAGAAAAAGAGCTTTTTCTGTCATAAATCAATAAGTTTTTGAAAACCCACTCGTTCAAGTTTAATACAAATTACACGAGAAAATCATATGATTGTTAGTTTTAACGTTACAGATGGAAAAATTTCGAAAAAACGTTTTTCGTAATATTACCGATGAGTTGAAGAGCTAGAAACGCGCGAACAGGTCTGGAATAGCATTATTCCCCAAACTACTGATGTAAATTCAATTTTTAGTGCTTTTTACACCAAAATAAGAATGAAGTACAGTTGGCCACTAAGCCTTGGATCACCTAGGGCCTTAAGAAATCTATAGATACAAAAAATAGACTATATAGGAAGTATTTGGTCACTAAATCACATTACCTAAAATCTAAATATAAAGTCTATCGTAACAAGTTAAACCACCTGTTGCTAATAAGCAAAAGGTCATACTATAAAAATTATTTCGTATCAACAGATCATAAGCTTAAAACATCATAGTATAATTGATCCTAAATCTATTGCTAATGAATTCAATGTCTTCTATACTAACCTCGGCAATCAATTTATGCTCAACTCTGGCATAAGTAATACATCTTTTTCTGATTATCTTAATCCTCCTTCATGCAGTAGTTTCTATTTGTCTCCCACATCTTCTATTGAAATTGAAGATATAATTTCTGACTTTAAGTCCGGTAAATCTATTGGTCCCTTTAGTATCCCAATTAAAATTCTGAAGCTCCTTAAATCCTTCTTGTCTAGACCTCTTGAGATCCTAATTAATTATTAACATTCAGCATTTCCTGATAGCTTTACAATAGCTAATGTAATTCCAGTTTATAAAAGCGGGTCTCGTTCCCTGACTTCAAACTAGAGTGCAAACAAGATTAAATTCGTGAAACACTACTTACCAAATAGTACAAAATAGTGCTAATTAAACAATAGAAAACAATGGAATTTGCATGAAATTGTGCTATTTAGTATTACTAAAGTTTCACGGGTTTACTGTGTGGTCACTCTATAACCGTGAAACTTTAGTAATACTAAAAAGCACAATTTCATGCAAATTCCATTGTTTTCTATTGTTTAATTAGCACTATTTTGTACTATKTAGTAATTAGTGTTTCACGGATTAATTGTTTGCACTCTATCGTCCAATATCACTGCTTTCTGTTTTTAGTAAAATTCTTGAAAAACTTATGTACAAAAGACTGATGTCTTTCTTTGAAAAGAGTGATTGCCTCTACAATAAACAATTTGGTTTTCGTTCTCTCTCCATAACACTTCTCATGCAATTCTCTTAATTACTGATAAAATTCAAAGAGCCATTGATTCAGGAATACTCCCTTTGCTAGATCGCGTAAGACCGCTGGAAAAAGATATTGGGGCGCGCTTCGATAACTTGGAATCGAGGCTATCCCTGTATACGAACTCATCTCTCTGTGACAGATATAAGAGGTTTTTAGTATTAGTTGCTGTTAAGAAAGCTTTTTGATCGTTTCAACGACTTA